GATACCAGGGTAAAGAGTCATGCTGAATGAAAACAGCACAGACCACCAAGAATCTCGACAGACATAGCAGAGATCAAAACAAACAAAAACAGGAAACTCAAAGAGATAATTTGGAGAGAGTATATAGAAAGTGAAAAAAATGTTTTCAAAATTGCTCCCAGCTACGTTTAGTTTCCTCAGAGACAGGTGAGGTGATGTCTTCTTTACTGAAAAAGAACAGGATAATTTTCTCAAAGAAAATTAACATCAACAAAAGAACTTCCTGGAAATAAATGTTAGCATAATTAAAAATTCAATTGAAGGGCTAAAACTTAAGGATAAAAAGCACAGAAACAAAAAAAAAATTAAATAGGGGAAAAATAAGAAAACTAGAAAGATTAATTCAACCAAATCAAAATCTTTCTGATTAAATATTTGAAGGGAGATTAGCTTAAAAGGAAAAATGAAATAAGCAATAAAAGAATATTTGCTGAAACTAAAATAGTTTCATAAATAAAGACACATTGAATTTCAAGAAAAATGTACTAGAAGTTTCCACAAGCACCTTTAATGAAAACAAAATTTAACATTAAAAAGAGGAAAATAATGCATTAGACAGATGAGTTCAAACATTTCTTGATAAAGATTTTAGTTAATTCCTTATTACAAATAAAAATGAGGGCTAGTTCTATGGCCTAGTGGTTAAGGGAGCCAGATCCCAAATGGCCAACTGTGGTTCCAGTCCAGATGCCGGTGGTTTAAAAAACATGCCAGGTATGTGCCAATGCATGTCCCAAATCCCAACAGGATGGAGAGTTAGAGGAGAAGGGATCACAGCATTACTATGCCCCACTGAGGGAACGCTTTCTTTATTTCCCTCTTTCTGTTTCTCTAACAAGTGGATGCATACATCCTCTGGTAGAAAGAAAAGAGGAGAGAGAGGAGAGGAGAGGAGAGGAGAGGTGAGGAGAGGAGAGGAGAGGAAAAAAGAAAAGAAAAAAGAAAAGAGACAAAAACTGAAAGGAAAAGAGAGAGAAAAAGAAAGAAAGAGAAAGAGAAAGAGGAAGGGATGGAAAGAGGAAAAGAAGAGAAAGGAAAGAAAAAGAAAAGAAAAAGAAAAATTAATCCCAATCCCAAATCTGACTCTTACCACTTATACTATGATATACACACTGACTTTCAAATCTACATGACCTCCAGTAGTAACAAGCACACCCAGCACCTGATCTTGCTTTCTAAATGTCATTCTGCAATAAAAGGAACAGGGTCTCTGTGGAGAAATGGCAGATAGGCCTGGGCAGGGAAAAAAAAAAAAACAAAAAAATGAAGATATCTCTAAAGGACACAAGAGACAATGTAAAAGAGTTCCCAATGGCCAAAGCAGAAAATGATTTGAGCAACAAAAGAAATAATGCCACTAGCAGATTTTAACTAGGATTTCCAAATAAAATACAAGTTGAACAGTTAAATTTGAATTTAAGAAAAACAGGGAATTTATTTTAATATTCCTCATTGAGATATCTGGTATGCTTAATTTCTATACAACATTTACATATTGATATACATAATAATATTAAGACAACTATAAAGTGAAATAAGTATTAATTCTCTTTGCATAATGTGGCTTAATCTTTCTTCCTAACACCTCTCATTTCTCTTTTCTTTTTTTGGAGAGGTTTTTTGCTATACAGCGCATGTGCTCTCCAGAAAGAGAGAGACAAAGAGACAGAAAGCGAGAAATCACCTCCCAGGGGGGATAGCCACACTGCAATCCCTTCTCCTCCATTCTCCTCTCAGGATCTTGGGCACACAAGCACACGAGTCAGGTGTGAATTTAAGCCACTGGGTCCAGGACTCGAACTGCTTTTGACTACATGGGAGTCCAGTGACATAGCCATTACCCTAACTGCTGGTCCCCCCTCCTCTCGTTTCTTCATCATTATACTAAAAGTTCTCCTAGGACTTAAAGTTATGACGGAGGCGGACCCTCTCATAATCATAAACAAAGTTACGGGGCCATTTGGGAAAAGCAGTTAATCACGTCTCACACAAATACTGCATTAGTAATATTTATTTCAGCATCATTAATACAAAGTAAAACACAAGATCTGTGCAGTGTCATACAGTTTAATTAAATTGAAGCATCAATAATCTTCTGGAAGTTGACATTTCTAGCTCTTTTTGCCCTCATTAACTTTACAACTTATAATTTGTGAAATGGCAGGGCCTGTAGGTGGTGTTGTGGTTAAGACTGGACTCCGATATAATGAGTCCTGGACCTGGTGGCTTGCTCTCTCACTCTCCTCTCTTTTATTTTTTTTTCTTTTTCTTTTTAATTTTTTTTATTTTTTTATTTTTGGAGATGTTTTCGCTATAGGGCACATGTGCTCACCAGAAAGACAGAGAAAGACAGAGAGACAGAAAGTGAGAAATCACCCCCCAGGGGAGATGGCCATGCTGCAATCCCTTCTCTCCCATTCTCCTTTTGGGATCTTGGGCACGCACGCACACACACCTGGTGTGAGTTTAAGCCACCGGGTCCAGGATTCGAACTGCAGTTGACTACATGGGAGTCCAGCGACATAGCCATTATGCTAACTGCTTCTCCCGCTCCTTCTCTCTTTCTCTGGTCAAATTGAATAATAATAATAATTTAATTTAATTAAGTTAAATAAATAATTCTTTAAAAAACAACTTATAAAATGATATGTGTTTCTAAGATAGCAAAATCAAAATTCTCTAAGCATTCTCCTCTTAGCTTTTAAACTCTTAAACCATCCATGTTATTAAAAAATATCATATAAATATATATGTGTGTGTGTATATATGTATATATATACACACACACATATATATATTAAAAAATATCATACACACACACACACATACAACACACATATATATACTGGGGTAAGGTAGCTGGATTCCACATGGCCTACAGCAGTTTGAGTACTGGACCCAGAGGCTTGAAAAACAAGCCAGATGTGTGCATGCGTGCATGTGTGCCCAAAGTCCCAACAGGAGGGAGCAAAAGAGAAGAAGAAATTGCAGGGTGACCATAGCCCATGGGGTGGTACTTTCTCTCTCTCTCTCTCTTGCTCTTGCCTGGCAAGCATATACGCCCTCTGGCAAAAAAAAAAAAAAATTAAAGATTCTTAAGGATAGGTTAAATCTGAAAATGATTTTTTTTTTTGTAATTTTAAGTGCATGCCAGTCTTAGAAATGAATTCCAGTAAAATTTATTTTTATTATTTTTTTTTAACTTCCAGAGGGCACATGTAATTGCCAGAGAGAGACCGAGTGAGAGAGGGAAAGTGAGAAAGTACCCTCCATGGGGTATGGTCACACAGCAATTACTTCTCCTCCATTTCTCTGTCCTTTACGGATTTGGGGCATGCATGCTCACATGCCCAACACTTTTTTTTTTTTTTTTTTTTTTTGCAGTGGTTTTTTTTAGGGCACGTGTGCTCGCCAGCTATAGGGCACGTGTGCTCGCCAGAGAGACAGAGAGATAGAAAGCGAGAAATCAGCCCCCAGGGGGACGGCCACACCACAATGCCTTCTCCTCCATTCTCCTCTCAGGATCTTGGGCACGCACGCACGCACACGTGCCCAGCGTGACTTTAAGCCACCAGGTCCAGGATGCAAACCGTGGTCAACTATGTAGGAGTCCAGCGACATAGCCATCACGCTAACTGCTGGTCCCCCCAGCAGTTTTTTCAAGCTTCTGGTCAAAGACTCAAACCACACAGTCGACCATGTGGGATTCAGCCACCTTAACCACCAGGACACAGGCTGGTCCTGAGTTCTAGTAAAAATTTTACAGGTAAAAAGCAGCAATCCTCGTAATGTCACGCATCTGCCATAGCCTAGACTAAATGTTGTGTCCTCCAGATTTATACTGAAAATTTCTAATCCCCAATAAGACGGTGTTTGCAGGTAGAGCCTCCTCTGGAAGGCAATTAAGTCATGACCATGGAGCCCACATGAATGAGATTAGTGTCCTAATATAAGAAGAAACACTGAAAGAGATTATAACTCTCTTGTTCTGTCATGTTTTGACACAAGGAAACAATAATCATATGCTAACCAGAAAGAACGTCCTCACTGACCACCAGATTTGCTAGTGCCTTGATCTTGGACTTCCTAGTCTAGCCTCGAGAAATGTGAGAAAACAATGTTGTTTAAGCCACTTAGCCTATAGTATAGCAGCCCAAACTAATTAAGACAACTTCCTTGGGTCAAAAGGCAGGAAATGTCTTGATTGAGTTTGTTAAATTTCATTCTGATGAACAGAAGTTCTCTTTAGAAGAATTCAATGTTTAGCTCTTAACGGTTATGTCGCTAGACTCCCACATAGTTGATCATGGTTCAAGTTCCGGACTCCGTGGCTTAAAACTCACACCAGGTGCATGAGTGTGCATGCCCAGAATCCGAAAAGGAGAATGGAGGAGAAGGAAGGGATGTGGTATGGCCATCCTCCCTGAGGGGGGAGGGGGGAGATTTCTTGATTTCTGTCTCTTTGTCTCCTTTGTCTCTCTCATGAGCTCACACACTCTATAGCAAAAATCTAACCAAAAAAAAAAAAAAAAAAAAAAGAGCAAACTGGAATAGCATAACAAATGATATTTATTCTAAAATGGAACTGTTCATGAATTTGCCAATATCAAAATTATCCTTACTGCCCATGAACACAATAAAGTACAATAACCTATATGAGGGTTTGAAACACAAATGATCTTTTCATAATAAATTCCTCTACTGGAAAACAACCAACCAACCAAAAATTATTTTTCCAAAAATAAGTTGAACCATTTCATTCATCTGATTGCTGGATGCTTATGAACAAGGGGTTCTCATATAGTTTGCTCCCTCTCTTTCAAAACATTAAACCACCCTAGGAGAAAATACATAATAACTCACAGATGAAGCCACCTGCTGTCTTCCAGCACAGCATGCTTCTATTATAAGATGGATATTTCTTCTGTTTACCCAGAGACAAATGCGAAGACAGCACTTACCGAGCTGGGGCTGGAGTGCCGCCTAACTTTAGGCGACTCTTTGCCTGCAGAGGAGGTCTTAAAGTTAATGCAAGCATTGTTCTCAGAATGCACCCTCTTCACTTGATTAGTTGGCTTCTCAAATGGGTCGAAAGTGCTCTGTGTCCTCTGAACTCTGACTTTTTTATCCTCAGGAATTGTGTCCAGGGGCTTGATCACTGAGTCCATTCCCTGGCAGTTCCGTGTAGACATCTTTGTGACACATATCTGAAAAAAAAGAAAAATGAAATTCAGAACTCTCCACTGAAACTTTAATATCATGAAACATGCTCAATTATTAGCCTAGAAAAGTGCCAATTTCAATTTCAGGAAATATTCCAAATGCCCATTATTTTAAAACAAACCAGCTTCTATCACAATATGAAAGATTCTTGATAATCAATCTGCTTACACTCACTTAGATCTTACACTAAAACAGCTATCCCTGAAGTGGAAAACTTAAGTCCTAGACTTCTAGTGACCTAAGGTAGTTCTTAACTCTCTTACATGTTTTACCAGCTGACTATAAGTGGATTATTACTGGATCTAACTAAGAAGTTGGATAACCTGCCTTAATATAAATAAATAAATAAATAAATAAATAAATAAATAAAATACATATAGTTTGGGCTGAATCAAAAGGGCACTCTTAATTGATGGGACATGGTGTTGAAAACGTGCATGACTAAATACATGTGTTTAAAGTATGTCTTTGTTTTTATTTCATCTCCAAATTAGAACGGTGCTAATTATTAAAAATGTTGAAAAATTGAAGAAAATGATTTTTTTTTCCTTTTTAAGTCCAAGGGAAAGGAATGAAAAGGAACAATATCATAAAAGAAAAACATTGAGGAACACTCATTCCAAAATTTTGCTTACATCACTCCTTCTCCTCAGCATCTTCCTTCATTGTCTGGCTGCACAGCCTGCCCCATTCTCTCATTTTATTTTAGTCTCAATGACTTTTGCTCCTTGCTACTTTGGATTCTAATCCATTTCTTTCCCTTATACTCTCTCTTAGTAAATTGCTTTAGGGCCTTCAAAGCTTGTCTGTAAAGCTAGTAACTATTATTCTCTCTAAAGAAAAGATTATTCTAAATAAAATTGGTCTTAGAAATTTTATAAAAAATTTTCCATGTCCCTATATGCTACCAAAATCAGAGAGACTGAATATATCTTTTAAAAGTCTATACTGTTAAAGTAAAAATCTAAAGTTCTAAAACCTATTTATAGGATGATTCCATATGGGGAATAAATGTATCTATTTATGGACAGATATAGATAGATATGAATATAAATACAGACACAGGTACAGATATGGATAAAACATCTATGTGAAAATATCACAGTGAGGTACCAGCAGTTAGCATAATGGCTATGTTGCTGGACTCCCATGTAGTCAACTGCAGTTTGAGTCCAGGACCTGGTGACTTAAACTCATGCCGGGAGCGTGTGCGTGCGTGCCCAAGATCCCAAGAGGAGAATGAAGGAAGACATGTGGAATTGCATGAGGAAGTGGTAACAATAGTAATTTTGTACACTCCCATTTTGTTTCAATTATATAAAAAACATGCCAATGTGTAAGTTTTTAAAAACTACTAACAGAGGGGCCAGCAGGTAACATGATGGGTAATGGCACTAGACTCCCAGATGGCCAATCACAGTTCAAGTCCCAGACCTGGCAGCTCTCTCGCTCTCTCTCTCTCTCTCTCTCTCTCTCTCTCTCTCTCTCTCTCTCTCTCTCTCTCTCTCTCTCTCTCTCTCTCTCTCTCTCTTTCATTCTGTCTCTCTCTGGACAAATAAATAAACAAATAAAGTTAAATAAAATAACTCTTTTTTAAAAATCCACTAATAGAGGAAAGGATGTATAATTAAGCTAAGCTCCTTCGAATTTCTGAAGCCCAAAAAATGTTATTAAGTATTATGCATCAAATCTGTTGTAAGAGTGTCTGAACTACTAAGGACAGGCTGAATTCTAATTACGTCAAATGAGAAGTGTGTTATCACACTTTTTAGCAAACCACAAAACTTCTGAAGATGTTTTTTAAGGACTCGAGACAGAATTCTCAACTCACCAGTCGGTCACTTAGTACTTTTTAAGAGTTTATATGTTCTTCTTAAGGATGTGAAGGTAACAGATAGGAAACAAGCCATATCACTAAGGCTATTAAATTATAAACACATGAGGCCAACAGTCAACACAAGAAATTCAAAGAAAAATATAGAAGAGCGGATTAAAATCAAATTGCTTAAAATCAACAGAAGAGAAAAGGTACTATAAAAGGTAATAATAACAGCTAATACTTGGTAAGAAAATAATACAAAAAGGCAATTAGAAAGTATCTTGGACTAAATGAAGGTGACAACACAAAATGTGGAAATGGTAAGACTCAGCTCAGGAAAATTTTTAGTGTTTACTACATATAGAAAAGAAGAAAAGTCCCAAAGCAATGACCTCAGCTTCTAATTTAGAATACAAAAAAAAAAAACCAGAAAGAGTGAAGGTAGGAACTACTGCCCGACATGTGCTGACCCTTTCTGCCCTTCACCCATCCAGGACCAATGGACAGGCCCAAGCCAAACTGCTTAGCTTGAGCTCATCAACCAGGACCCCCACCCAGCCTGCTGGGGGGAGGAGGAGCTCTCTGGCCCACCAGCATGCAATGTGGTCTACCGCCTTACATTCCATCTGTCAGGTCAACCTCCATCACATTGGGAGCAATTAGGTTTGGGTATACAAGAAGCAAATATCTGAAAATAGGAGACTCTGGAGGAATTATTTACCCATAACTTCTTTAGCAGTAAAAGGAGAGAAACTCCCCTCTGTAAACCTTAACACAAAACTCTGTGAATTCCACACTTGCACCCACAATAAAAGAGGAAAATTGGCACAGAGCTTACACATATCATAGAGAAGTACAGGAGCACACACCTACAGAAATATACTCCAAAGGAAAAGGGAGAAGCAAGTGTATCACCAAATGATAAAAAATCAAGACAGAGCCCAAAGAAATAGCCCAGAGAAATATAAAATCAGAAAATACCTCTCCCTCAAAAGATAGTAACTCCTCACCAACAATGGATAAATCACAAGATTGCAGAAATGTCAGAAAAAATAATTCAGAATAGTCATTGTAACAAAACTTAATGAGATATAAGAGAAACAGACAATCAGTTCCTGGAGATAAAATCCTCCAATGACTTGAAGGAGGAATTCCACAAAAAGACACACTGAAAAAGAATCAAACAAAATTTCTGGAAGTGAAGAAAACAACGCAGAAATCAAAACTTCCCTCAAAAATATCAACAGTAGATTAGACCACACAGAAGAAAGCATCTCTGAGCTTGAAGACAAAACCTTTAATAAAGTCTAAGCAACTGAAAAGAATAGAAGAATAATCATTAAAAATGAGGACAATATATGGGAAATCCTAGACACCATTAAATTGCTAAATATCCACATAATAGTTATTCCAGAAGGTGAAGAGACAGGTAAAGGCATAGAAAACATCTTTCAAAACATACTGGGTCGTCAGAAAAGTCATGACATAATTTTCTGTTTTTCTATGCAAAAATGCTCAGGACTTTTCCAACAACCCAATATTAACTAAAAATATTCCAAATTTAGAGAAGAATGTGGACACCCAAATCCAGGAGATACAAAGGATATAAAATAGATATAAGAAGATCTTCTCCAAAGTTTATTATTATAAAATTGACAAGAGAGAAATACCAAGTTACTTACAAAGATTGCCCAAATACACTAACATTGGATCTGTCAATTGAAACAACACAGGCAGGAAAAAAGTGGGAAGATACATTCAAAACTGTAAAAGAAAAGCAATTTCAGCCAAGAGTATTATACCCAGCAGACTTACCCTTCAAATGCAAAGGAGAAATAAAATCATTCCCAGATAAACAAATGCTAAAAGAATCCACCAAAACAAAACTGATTCTTCAGGAAATATTTAAAGGATTACTGCATGAGGAAAGCTAAAGGAGACCAATATTGATAGAAGTAAGAAAACACAAAACTAGGAAGAACTATAAGTCCATACAAATTGATAGTAACACTGGACATCGGGATGAAATTTCCCAGCTAAAAGGCTATCCACAGTTACAGCCTAGTACTTGACTAGTACTTCACGTGAGACCCTGAGTCAGAGGCGACCAGTTAACAAGCACCTGGATTTGAGACCCACAGACACTATGAGATAAAAAATGTTTGTTGTTTTAAAATGTGAAGTTATGGCATAAATTGTTAATGCTGCAGTAGATAGCTGATACACAAATGTTTTAAAATCATATGATCATTTTAATAGACTCAGAAAAAGTATATGGCAGGATTAGTACCCATTCATGATAAAATCTGACAAAAAAACTAAAAACAACAAATTTCATCAACCTAACAAAAGGCATCTACAAAAGTTACAGCTAATATTACACTTAAAGGTAAGAGATCAAATGCATTTCACCTAAAAACAGGAACAACTCAAGAAAGTCCTCTTTTACCACTTTTATCCAACTGAATTATAAATTCTAAGACAATGCAAGAAAAATAAAAGTCATGCACATTAGAAAGAAATAAAAAGGGACCAGCAGATGGCACAATGGTTAGGTTGCTGGATTCCCACATAGTCAACTATGGTTCAAGTCTCAGACCCAGTGGCTTAAAACTCACACCAGGCACTGGGGCCAGCAGGTGGTACGGTGGTTAAGGCACTGGACATTCCCGTGTGGCCAATCATGGTTCAAATCCCAGACCTAGAGGCTTGCTTTCTCACTTTCCTTCTTTCTGTGTCTGTCTTTCTCTGGTCAAATGAAAATAAATGAATGAATAAATGAATAAATAAATAAAATTAAATAAGTAATTAAAAACAAAAACAAAAAGACACATGTGCATGCATGCCCAAAATCCCAAGAGGAGAACAGAAGAAAAGGACTACAGTGCAGCCATCCCCCCACTGGGGGGTTGGGGAGTGATCTCTCACTTTCTGTCTCTCTTCCTCTGTCTCTCTTAGAGAGCCATGCACCCTATAACGAAAAAAAACTCTAAAAAAAGGAAGAAAGAAAAAATAAAAGAAAGAAAATGTATACTATTCACAGAAGACATGATCATCTAAATAGAAAGTCCAATAAAATATTTCTAAGAAAGCTACTAGAATTGACTTTTATCAAGGTATAAGGGTATAAGATCAATGTACAAAATCATTTGTTTCTTCATCTTT